ATGTGGCAGAGCGTTACCAAATAACCAGCAGTTGGTCAATGCAGACCAGCATCAAAGACCAGTTAGATGCCCCAGCGTCAACTAAGAACATAAATGCCAGCACTTTGGTGGCCACACATTGACCACGTTGACCTTGAACCTTAAGGCAAATGCAGCTGCTATAGCTGCACAGCAGTATTCAGGTGTGACGTGGTCATCCACACAATCCCAATTTGACTTAAAACATGTTGATGTTATTTTGTATCTATTGATTTTGAAAAGTAATTTTTGTAGGAAAGTCTCCATTCTCGACACTCTACCTGAAGACATCCAGCCCTCTCTCTCTTCGTCTGTAAAATGAGGTTAATAATGAATGACACATGCCTTACGGAGTCGAATTAGGTAAACAATGTAATGGCAAACAACGGTTTATCATGCGAATACGCTTATTTTGGTCCTGCCGTTGCCACGATCATGCCGATAAAAACCAGTCGTACGTTAAGCTGGTTTTGTACAGAACTAAACGTTCTAGTGTGACGAGGCGGATGCAGTGGCCTCCCGCGCAAAGGCCTCCCGCTTGCCTCGATGATCTCTCAGAATAGCCTGACCTCTTTTCTGCCGGGGCCAAGAGAGCATCACTGAGCATCTCCACCAAGGAGGCAAGAACTGGCAGTGAGCGGGCGTCTGGGCTCTGAGATCAGGCACACCTCACTCAAGTCACAACTGCCCAGTGTCGATCGTCTCTGACTTTGAAACAATCACTCTTGCCCCCCGCCCCCCACCTCACTCTTGGACATGATTTTGGGTGAATCTCAGATAAAGAGATTTAGGAGGAGCCAAACGCATCTTTGTGTGTTGGCCGTCGGAACACAGAATCTGTCTCGGTGCTGGCCCACTCCGGTCCGCTTTTCAGGTTTCCTGCGGAAGGAGCCGACATTAAAAGCTCACTGGACGGTCCAGGGGGAGAGACTAGCTCCAGAATCACAGGAGAGGCTTCAGAACTCACGGCAGGAGAGTAATTACAGATGCTGCCTCTGCACCTGCCCCCGTGTGAGCTGGAGGAACCCGGTACCTTTCATAATTAAAATCACGGACGCATTGAATTTCGCATCTTTAAGACACCATAGTACACCGCTCCAGCTTCCAAAGTAGAAATGGTTACAATGCTCACGGTGTCCCCAGACGCTGAGAGTGACAGCTCGCCGATTGTGCTGAGACGTCTTGAGTTTATGATCTTGGAACTGGCCTCTTGGGGATAGAAGTGCTAATCGCGTGACCCTCCGCACGCTGCACAATCAGTCCTGTTTATCTGATGGCCATTCCACGGACACCTGCTGTTCCCCTGGCCCCAGTTCTTACTGTCTTGCTCGCCGTCGACCAGACTCGGATGCTGATGCATTCAGTCGTGCCCCGTGGGGTGGGAGACCCAGGTTGTGCTGTCCTGGAATTCTCTCGGTAGTTGTGGGGCTGAAGGCAGGTCCCCGATTCACTACAGCCCTTCACCTCCTCTGCCTGTCCCTTCAGCCTCCCCACGACGGGTGGCCCGCCTGACCCTGGGACAGTGGCTGGGAGTAGAGGACGAATAATATTCCATCCTGGTTTCTAGGATGGGAGAGAGGGCGTAAAACGAGCTCACAGCGGGAGAGACGCACGAAACCATTTCCTTTATGGCCGAAGCCACATCCGCCGCTCTGTGGCCACTCAGCGGTCACTTAGAGGGTCGGCCATGCTGGACTGGCACGTAGGCAGATGGCAGCCAGCACAGCACGTAGAGTGGAGCGGAGCCCAGGTGGGAATGTGACAGGGATTGTCACCCACTTCCGTCACCCCCCACCCACCGTGGGTCCAAGCCTGAATCCTGTCGCTCCCTTGTTCTGCTCAAGGAAACTCTGGGGTGTCAGAGCTCAGGAGAGCCAGCTTTGAGTCAAGTCGTGTCAATATGAAATCATTTGTGGTTTCTGTATTTTGACTGTTTCGGGTAAGAAATCTTTACAGTGTAACTCACAGCTGGTCACCACAATCCGGTGTGTTGGGGCACACCATTTGGGAGCTGCTGACTAAGACAGCAGCACTTTGTTGCTGACAAAGAAGATAATTAAAAAGTCAGAAAGTTCAGATAGTTTTTCTGAATCACAGCTAGTTGTAACGGCCAAGGCTACAGTGTGTGGCTTCCAGCGCCAGACCTTGTCTGAACTGTCAGCCCACCACCTGATTGCCGTGGGGACCTGCAAAGAAGTTATTTTACACTCTGGGGTTCGGTTTCTTCATCTATAAAACAGGGAGAAATAATGTATTTATTTCCTAGGGGTGGCATGAGAATTAAATGATTATTACACGTAAAGCATTTAAACGATGCTTGACATTATTAATGCGGTCAAGTAATACATGTTAGCTGTTTATTATGCAGTTGTGATTATTATTATGATCATATTCTAATTAGTAAAAATGGGATAATAATGCAAAACTCACTGCATTACCAAGAGAAGCAACCCAGTGACCAAAATATGGCACCAGACGCACAGCAGGCATGTAAGGAGCAGGAACTGCGATTAATAGAGCTCTACATTTTGAGGTCTGATAGAGCTTGCATTCCTTTGTGCAGTAAATGTCCAGAATATTGAAAACCAATTGCATTTGTGCATTCTCCCAAAATTGTGACGTAAGAGATGGACCGATATTTCTATATGAAAATGCATGTCGCTTTTATGGGCGTGCTGGCATTAAAGGGACGGTTGCCGGTGTTTACCACGTGCCAGAGAAAAACTGGATTGTGCATGCACTTCACGTAAAGTATAAATAAGTGCATTTATATAGGCAATCAGTATCTATGGCGTAATTATTGTGGTAATCTAGCAAATCCCATGCTGATCCGAAAGTTGTGTAAAAACCCCACAGTTCTAAAGTAGGGGCGAGTAGGTAAGTTGGACCTTTAATCCAGGCCCATAATCAACAAGTCCATGCTGTCTTGATGTCATTGAGACCGTAGAGGATGCTGTAATTCATTCCTTCCTTCCTTCCTTCCTTCCTTCCTTCCTTCCTTCC